GCGCCGAGGGGCCGTGGCGGAGCAGTCGCTCTGGTCTCGGGCTTCGGCGGAACATGGTTGACAAGCGTACGAACTGCCACTCCCTCCTCCCACAATTGGATTCTCACCAAGCACCCAAGCGGGGGGGGGGGGGGGTCGTAAGAGACGGGGTTATGTTGGGCAGTGGACCACAAATATCGTATGCAAATAAATAACAGCAACATTCGAATTATGGGATCCTGAACTGATGCCTTGTTCATACCGGGACATTTGAACTTTTCGGTGATGTTTGTTTATGTGCGATGGCTGATCCATAAAAGCAAACACATCATATGGGGCTACAGTCAGAGAGTATGATGAATGTGCAGGTATGAGCTGGGCCAGAACGCCCCTGTCACTGAGAAGTCCTAAAATAAAATATGCACTTGAGGGCGTCAAAAATAAAGAATGGTTACACCTCAGTCGTGGTAAAAAGTATCATCGAATCTGTAATGTAGTAGTCAAGTCAGCATTTCAGATGTCATGGTAGTGGAAAAATCCTTAAAACATGTTTTATTTGGAGATTATATTTTGGGACACTGCAGTTCCTGAAAGTTAATGCAGAGTAAAACCTGTTTTTAAGGCACCCCTGGATTCCTTCTTTGCTATATTAGACTAACAGGGCTAGCATGCAACCCCTCATATTTTTGCAATAGTGGAAAGTGTTTAAGAGCAAATACAAAAGTTCCAGGATGTCAAAAAGAGAAAAGAAAGCAAGAGAGAGAAGCTATAGAATACGTACTGTTTATTTAGTATAGAAAAATATGGGTGGGGGAAAAAGACAAAGAGCAATTTACAGCTGACCAGTGGATCTCCCTTACAAAGGTAGTAACAGATTGCTCATCCAGTCTGGCACATATAGAATAACCAGCTTTGGTTGCTTAGGTTGCAAAGGGGAAAAGATCCTAACGGACCCAGAGGAATCCTTTTTTTGTTTCAAGCAAATGGGATATTTAGCATAATAATTTTGATAATATAATCTCAGCACAAATTACCCTTAGAAATTCAGTTTCTATTTGACTGGTTAATAGTTTATTAACACCTTAATTAAAATATACATTTCATCTTCTCTGAAGGTAGCACTTATAGTGACCAACTTTTCCACCTGAAGTACAATACCTTATCTTCCTGTATGAGCCTATCCATGCTTTGAAATCTTCAGGAGCCATCTTTCAGTTGGTCCTTCGACCTTCTGAGGTAAATCTGGTTCAGATGTGAGAGATGACCTTCTTGGTGGCTGCTCCTAGGCTAGGACTCACTCCATTTAGGACAGCTATGCTTGTTCCTTTCCTGCTTTCTTTCCACTAACAAAGACCCTTTTTAAAAATTCAGGCAAGCAATTGATTCTTCTCACTGGCATTCAACTGGAAGGGTAAAGACTTTTTTGTTTGTTACTGTTGTGTTTGTACATTATGTTTTTCTATTGTGTGTTTTTATTATATATTTGTACTATCTTATTGTTAGCCTCTCTGAATCTTGTTCTTAAGAGTAAGGGGCAGCATATACATTGGATGGCCACAACATCCTATTGGGAATTTATGCATGCACTGCAAATTGGCATGACTCAGCAATGTGCCAGTTGTATCCCCTGGCAGGTTGCAAGGTTGTTGCAAAAGTTCACAAATATGTTGTTGCAGAAGCTTAGGTTCTCCAGCACATGGATGTTCCGCATCAGGCTTTTACAAAGAAGTCATTAAAAGGGAGGGTGCTGGTTTTCACCCCTTCATGGATTGCTGCCTTTTTCATGGCAAGGGGGCTTGAGTAATTCAGAGAAGTTATGGGCTATGCCGTGCAGGGACACCCAAGATGGACAGGTCATAGTGGCGAGATCTGACTAAACGCGATCCCCCTGGAGGAGGAACTGGCGAGCCACTCCAGT